GGAGAGTGGAGAGGCACAGCCATAGCCTTTCGCAGTTCGCTTACACACCACAGCGCAACCATTCACCCCAAAGGCAGCTCAGTGGTACTCAGCAAAGACAACACAACCTTTGGAGTTATCTGCATCCACGTACCACACCATGCTACGGTTGATGAGACCTCGACCATCTTAGCGGACTTCGATTCTTGCCCGGCAATGCGACAGCACAGGACCATCGTGGGCATGGACGCGAATGAAATCTTTTCACACTCGGAGAGTGCGTCTGCCTTCCCGAAAGGCCACACCGGCAGAGGGGAAACCATCTTGACCTGGCTGGCAAACGGAGACTTCAGGTTCCCGGAGCAGCAACTGCACCTGCCGTCGCACTTTCCCTACTCCGGACAAAACCCCCGGCGCCTGGACTACTTGGTTTGCAGGGGCATCCACCTGGGAGGAGGACACGTCGGAGACCACCGAGACAGAGCGCACTCAGACCATGAGCCCATCATTGGGCACCTTCCTGTCCGAGTTGAGCAGAAACAATTCCACAAAGTGTGGGGACCCAGACACCTCCGGCACGACTTTCAGGACACACTCAGTCTGGGGCATTTCCTACATGGAGATGCACACCACCAACTGGCGGCCGTCTGCAAAGCCATGACGAACCCGGGAAGAGCCATGGACAAGTTCGACGAGACCAAAAAACTCAAACAACTCCGACGTGAAGCACAGCGCACGCCTCCGGGGCCTGCCCGAAGGACGGCATGGAAAGAAGTCCAGGCCATGCACAGGCAGGAGAAAAAGCAGTGGCACACCAAACTCAACGAAGCCGCCAGCAAGCAAGACTGGCGCTCGTACCGGGCACAAAAGCACCTTCTACGCACCCGAGAGTGGGAACACTACCTGCTGGACGACGCCAACTGGCAAGGTACCCTCAAGCACCACTTTGAGGGCATCTTCTACAAGGAGGACCCGTCTCAGGTAACCCTTCAGATCACGGAGATGAGGCGTGAGTTGGCGCGCCTCTGCAAAGTAACCCCGTGGCACCCCTTCACGCTAGAGGAGCTCCAGGTGACAGAAGGGCGCTGGCCGCGCCGGAAAGCGGCGGGACCCGACGGGATCATCCACGAGGCACTCAGTCAGCTACTGCGAGACGACGGTTGGACGCACAGGATCGTCTACCTCATCAATGACATCTTCTACAAGGGCACCCTCCCAGAGCTGCTGGAGAAAGGCGTCACCGTCCTTCTACCAAAAACCGCGACCCCGGATGGTTGGCCCGATACCCGCCCCATTACCATCTCGTCGGCAATCCTTAAATGGATCGCGCAACTGGTCCTACGGCGCACACAACACCTTTTCAGACCTGTGTGCACACTACAGTGGTGCGCGAAAGGCCGCCAGTCAGTCGAAATGCTGCTGGCGATACGCAAAATTGCTCGGATGGCGAGGGACTGGGGGGGACCCTTCTTCATCATCAAGATTGACGTGAGGAAGGCGTTTGACAGCGCCACCCAAACGAGTATGGGACGACTGGTCACTACACACGTTGGAAGACGAGGGCACCCGTGGGAGGCACGCATCTGGCTGGCACTCCTACACGCCTCCCAGATGGACATCCAGTTTGGGAACACCACTATCCGTATTCGCCAGAGCAACGGAGTACGCCAAGGAGGCCCAGACTCACCCGTCGCCTTCTCGGCGCTGGTGGGGGACGCCTTGCTCCAAACGGCGTCGGAAGTCACCATCTGCGCATGGGGACCAGATAAGAAAAAGCCGCCACCCCCGCACCACACAGCGGGGTACATGGACGACGTTTACGCTTGGGGGGAGAACCCGAACCACGTCCAGCAAGTTATGGACACCTTGGAAAAGATCTTTGCCACCCACGGCCTTTTTGTCAACCACAAGAAGACGAGCGCGATCGCCAACGAAGGAGTGCACACCTTCAAGATCGGGGGACA